TTCATTTTATTTCATTTTATTTTATATTTTTATTTTATTTTATTTTATTTTTTTTAAAGAATATTTTTATTTCTACTTAGTGTCTTAGTAAAGTTATCGTATAATACCATATTTAATTAACATATTTTATTTTATTTTATTTAAAGAATATTTTTATTTCTACTTAGTGTCTTAGTAAAGTTATCTTATAATACCATATTTAATTAACATATTAATTATATTTTTTCCATAATAATTAAACCACTAAAAGGAAGATTAAATTTTAAATTTCCTACCATATAAAAATAGTGTTCTCATGTATAAGTAAATACAAAATTATATAAAAAAAAATATAAAATAATAATAACATTATTTTTATTATTATTTATTAAATTTATATTAAAGAATAGTTTAATTATTGTTACATTAGTTCTTAAGAAAGTTATAGTACTAAATATAACCACTTTTCTAATTTACTAATGAATAGTAACATATTATTTAAATAATATTATATAATATTTAAACATATTATATATAAAAATAATAAAATATTTTAATTAAATATTTTATTCATATCGATAACTTTCCTAATACACGTATCTTACTTAGTTGCTTAGTAAAGTTATCCGTATTTGATATCATTATAATAAATAATATATAAAATATTAGTCTACTAGTCTTGTGATAAAGTAGCTTATTAATTACCATATTTAATTAACGATTATTTTATTTTTATTTATTTGGTATTTAAAGAATTATTTTTTTCTTACTTAGTGCCTTTTAGGAAAGTTAATCGTAATAATACCATATTTATAAATAACATATTTTATTTTATTAATTTAAGATATTATTTTATTTCTACTTAGTGTCTTAGGAAAGTTATTGTATAATACCATATTTAATTAACATATTTTATTTTATTTTATTTTATTTAAAGAATATTTTTATTTCTACTTAGTGTCTTAGGAAAGTTATCATATAATACCATATTTAATTAACATATTTTATTTTATTTTATTTAAACAATATTTTTATTTCTACTTAGTGTCTTAGGAAAGTAATAATACATAAAGTATAATACTTAATAATATTTAATTAACTAATTTGAATTATTTAACAATAATGTTATTTTCCTAATTAGGTCGGCTGACACCTGTTGTTTCTGAGTGTTAATGGCGGCTGTTTTGATTGACAGTTCATTACAATGTGATTAAAGGCTGACAGAGGTAGAGAGAGCAACCGGTTTCATCTCAAACTGTAATAATTGGTTTGTTGTTGAACACTGGAGCTGCTGACGGATCTGTCCTGTGACTAGGGCTGTTAGTCTGCGGCCACAGATGGCTCAGGCAGGTCTAATCCTCTTTACCATGAGTCCCACTCCTCCTCCTCCTTTATTCTCCTCTCCTCTGCCTTTCTTCTCCTCCTCTTTATGTCTCTTTAATTGGAGGACAGAGGGGTTTCTAATGTAAGCATAACGGATTGGGATTATGTCATGTTAGCCACATCAACAGTACGCCATTTCCGGTCGTGAATGTAAAATAAAAGTTTTATCAGCTGAATTGCCAAGAGTCTATGTCACTTTTGTTCTACTATCTCTAAAATGATTGCGTATTAATCACATTACTTTTCATGTTTTCATTTTTTTACACGTTTTATGCAACAAAAAAACTGTAGAAATGTTGCACATAAAACAGACTAGGTGATGAACATGAAAATAGCTTATGAAAATATATTTCTGTGCAGGTTCATAATGGTAGAGCTGCTACATTTTAGGTCATTTTCATAATAAATAATAAAGCAAATGTGGATTTAACCATAGGATAAATGTTTCCATAAATTATTAAATTATTATGCCAGTCATTCTCCCTCCTACATTTAATGCTGAAATTACGATACAGATCGCAGTATTTTACCCAGCTTTAGGCTCAATAGTCTGGATTTGTTGAATGAAAAGTGTATTTTTTTAAGATTATGAGCCTAAAATTCAGGCTTATTCTTCTGAGTTTGATTCCAAGTATTTAACACAGTAGAAAACTTTATACCACAAGGGTTTCTTACAGAATAGATATATACATCAGTATGTACTGCACTCTTTCTGCACCTTTTCTTTTTTTTTTACATGTAAGTAAACTTCTTTTTCTTTAACTTTTTTATTTTTTACTTTTAGGCACTTTTTCACATCTAATTATCTTTAAAAAATGATGGTGTCCCATTATTTGAATTCTCCCTCTATTAGATTCTTTGAAGACAATCTTCCATATAACTACATATATATATATATATATATAACTATATATATATATTCTGATTGAGAGCAAATACATACCATATTCATGCATTAAATGTGACACAAAAAAACCCTCATACACTGAGAGGTGGTGTTGTGCAGGTTGTCACTATTACGCCAATATATCCGTTACAAACTGAAACGACGCATTACTTTGAAAGTGTACACCAGTGTACTTCCGGTGTTGACGCCGCTGACTTGACGCACGTCTGAACACGCGCCTCGTATGCGCGATCTCCGGCAGAAACTGAACGCGCTGCTGCCGATGTGTCTGAAGGAGGAGTCCGGACACCCTGCAGGTCGTGACTCCACTTTAACATCTCACCACCTGCATTTGTTGTGTTTTCCTGGATCAATAATCGACCACTGATCAATAATCGCTGCAGGCTGAATGCGTCCATACCGGTAAGACTGATGTTCTCTACCCGCAAACTCTGCTCTACAGTGGGTGTCTGTGCGTACCTGTGCGTGCATGGTGTTCATGTATGGTGTCATTGTATAACTCTATTTATAACTATTTACATAAAGCATGTTTTCTTTGTGTGTGTGTGTGTGTGTGTGTGTGTGTGATCCAGTTGTGATGATCAGGTCAGTCTCACACACACACACAGACACACACACACACACCTGTTAATGGGATGAGAGAGAGAGCAGGAGGGATAGAGAGGAGTGAGTGGACCTCCAGAAGTAGGCCACATCTCATATAATCTCTCCTTTGCTTTCTTCTGCTGACTGAACCAATTAATGTTCCAGCGCTGACACAACTGCAGTTAGTTTCTTCATTTTAAGAAGAAGAAAGGTGAGAAACTTCCGAGTGTTGGTTCTTAAATTACTGCGGGAGGGAGTGTGTCTGTGCAGCTACAGCTACAATGCAGAGCTGGTGATTTCCTTTGATTTACCCACAAGGAATACCCATTAGCACCTGCAGTTTTCCAGAAAGCGGCTGCCTGATGCTTCACTTTGACTGCCAGCATAGGAACTACTCATCCCTGACATCCTGTCTACCCAGAATTCCCTGAGGCCCACCTACTTCTTCTCCGTCCCTCATTAAAGCTGTGAAGCAGATACAGATGAAATAAGGAGTTACATAAATCTGAATGATGTAATGATATTGTTTTGTTTGTTTGGTTGTTGTTAAAACTTTAAGCGCCTCAATGTTGCAGTACGACGTCCCTTAACAGCTGCACGAGATATTGTTCTGATTGAATTCAAAAGTTTAGAATTTTATAACAATCCTCAAAAATGTGTCATTCAAGTAGTTTCTTTTAAACGTATATTGTTTTGTAGATTTATTTAGAGACAAAAACCTTGAGAGACACCAGAATTATAATCAGAATCTAAACTGAGAGCAAATTGTTTTTCTCATAAATTGAATAATCCAGCTTTCATATACGGCATATTAACTGTGTGCTTAGAGTTTAAGTACTGCACTTAAAGCTACTCTGATGAATATGTTAATATTAACAATGGATCAAATGAATACTTGCATTTGAAGGTTGGGTTAGGTGATGAACCGTGTTTCGCTGAGAGTTTTCGCATAATTTTAGTTCATTGTTTTGGTTTTATGGCCCCGAACTTTACTGTTTTGGTTCACTCTCACGGCTCTCATCAGCATGGTTTCAGGCAGCTGTTTTCAATCAACACCCCAGTAAACTTACTGTAGATGCCCAGCAGCAAACAGCTGACTTACTGACTGGTTATCTTCACCTCCTCTGATGAAGAGCAGAGCACAGCATCAGTCAGGGATAGATAGAGATCAAAAACAGCTTAAAGTAGAGTGAATATTACACTTATACTCACCAGGTATCCAGGAACTTGACTCCAAATGAATGCTAATGGTGCTCC